TGTTTTTTTCTTTACAAAAATTATTTGTCTATACAAATCTGCCTACTGTCCTCTAAATAAAACTCCATAAATAATTTGGAGGAACTAATCTCTCTTACAGTACCTGTGTGACCTGTTTTTTCACAATCTTAATGCATCTTAATAAAATGCAGACACACCAAGGGACAGATAACGCCTATTGGCTCTCCAGAGACTGGAAATACTGCATTTAAGGATGCCTCTTTACAAAAACAGTGTACACAATTATTCAGAGCTGACCCAGTCAGGAGCAGGAGGAAGTAGAAAATCTTTAGGCAAAAGATACGCCTGGGTCATAGGTTGTTATTTTTAACTATTTTGTTAAAATATTTTGTGCTATTTTCAGACCATTTTGGAGAGCTGAAATAAAATTGTGTGCAAGTCTGTATAGGCTGATATATAGCCTCTTGAGCTCTCCCCTCCACTTTTAGGTATTGACAACAGTCTCCTAAGAGAGATAAGATGCTGCCTAGTATGCTTTATGCATGAGCAACATAGCTCCCTCCTTGCCACGATTTTTTCTCTGTGTAAGTTCTTATTATCATAGCACTAACACAGGATCACTGACTGTCAAACCTCCTTAAGACTGATATAAATATTATTTTAACAGTTTTAGTCTGTTATGGAAAATTGTTCCTAAAATTACCACCATCTAAATAAATATATTTGTTATCAAACTGTATTTTTCATCACCATCATCAAATTATTCACTGTCAATACATTTTATAACACATCTAACCCTTCCTCTGTTCAGGAATAATATATAGGCCTACCCGAGTTTTGAAGATATTGACTGAATAATTACACCAATCAAGTGTAATCTATACAATATCATGAAAAAATCACTTGCTTGTTTACTGCTGTTTGTTGTTTCTAACTAACTACTTCCATTAAGTGCTTTTGTTGTCGTTGTTTTTTGCTCATCTTATGTGAATGACGGTGACTTTGCAAACAAGAAAAAAGGCTGGTAACAAAATTTTCAAAGAAAAATGATTTTTTCTAGACGTAGAACTCCCTTTTTAAAGTAATTCTGTCTCTTCGTAGATACCTGCGTAAACAAATCTATACTTGCATGAATGTTTTAGACAGGAACAAAAGGAGGCACAGACAAGGTGCTTCTTCTTCTGACTGAAATAAGCCTGAAGGTTTGTAGAAACATTTCAGACACATTTGCCCTGCTTTTCTTTGAAGCTATATCTGTTTAACATGTATAGTAGGATTCAATTTCTTAGACAAGCTTACAAAAAAAGAAAAAAAAAAAAGGTTTCTAGGTGCATATACCATAGTTCCTTTGGAAATAAACAGTTAAATCTCTGGTACTTGTTAGAGATCAGTGACACTGAACAAGTGTAGATTGGGAGTCCTTCCATAAACTTTAGTGATAGTGATAATAAAAGAGCTGGAATAAAACCAACCTGGCTTTCATAACCTATTTTGTTGGATTAAGACCTGTCACAGATTTGTGGCGGTGAAGAACTGCTACAGCTTTAAACTTCTGAACTTCATAAATTCAAATCTGGAAATAATAAGGATGAACAAACAAAGGTTCCCAAGAGAGCTTTTTTTGCATGTACTTTCCAAACTATAACAACACCGATTACATTAATCTTAGAATCACAGAATGATTTGGGTTGGAAGGGACCTTAAAGATCATCTAATTCTAATGCCCCTGCCATGGGTAGGGACACCTCCCACCAGACCAGGTTGCCCAAAGCCCCATGCAGCCTGGCCTTGAACACTTCCAGGGATGAGGCATCCACAGCTTCTCTGGGCAACCTGTGCCAGTGCCTTACCACCCTCTGAGTAAAGACTTTCTTCCTAATAACTAATTTCAATCTACCCTCTTTCAATTTAAATCCATTACTCCTTGTCCTATCCCTGCACTCCCTGACAAAGAGTCCCTTCCCATCTCTCATGTAGGCCCCCCTTAGGTCCTTGAAAGCCTCTGTAAGGTCTCCCTGAAGCCTTCCAGGCTGAACAAGCCCAACTCCCTTAGCCTGTCTTTGTAGGAGATGTGCTGCAGCCCCTTGATCATCTTCATGGCTTTGCTCTGGGCTCATTCTAATATTTTGGTGTCATTCTTGTGCTGGAGACCCCAGAGCTGAACACAGGATTCCAGGTGGGATCTCACAAGAACAGAGTAGAGGACAATCACCTCCCTTGCCCTGTTGGCCATGCTGCTTTTGATGCAGCCCAGGGTACAGTCAGTTTTCTGGGCTTCAGGGGCACATTGCTGGCTCATGTTGAGTATTTTGGCAACTAACACTCCAGGTCCTTCTCTTTGGTGTTGCTTTCTATCTATTCCCCACCACTACCCCTGAGCCTGTATTTGTGCCTGGGATTGGGATTGCTCTGGCCCAGATGCAGGACCTTGCACTTGGCCTCATTAAACATCATGAGGTTCTCACAGGCCCACCCCTCAAATCTGTTCAGGTCCCTCTGGATGGCATGCCTTTGCTCCAGCATGTCAGCGACACCACACATCTTGGTGTCATTGGCAAACTTGCTGAGGATGCACTTGATCTCACTGGCCATGTAACCGAGAAAGATTGTTAAACAGTGCCGGTCCCAACACTGACCCCTGAGGAACAACACTTGTTAGTGCGAATAATGTTCGAATAACGTTCATGGTAGTTCCCTGAAATTCTAATTTCTCAGGAATTCGTCCTTTACCAGAGCACATTGAATATAAAAGTATGTATAAACTGTTACAAAATAGAAAAATGTTTAAAATGGGTGACATAGACCCAATTACAGACCATCCAATTACTTAAGTAGTCTCTTCATGCATACTTTTAGAATGTGCACAACATTTATTGCTGCATGCAAATGTGAAGTACATAACCACTCCATAACCTGCTTTCCAAGTGTAGCAGAACTCAATTCAAAGCTGCCCCATTTTTCTTTCTGCCAGTCAGCCAGCTATGAGTTGTCTCTGGGGCAAGGAGCAGCAATACCCCTCAAACAGCATATTTTTGTCACTGTGGTAGAAACATCATTGCAATGCCCCGATTGCCCCTGGGCAACAAGAGTGACATAAAACACAACCAGATCCCATGACTCATTTTCCTTGAAGCAGGGAAGAAAACATTGAGGTATCCCTTACAGAGAGCCTAGCCTATACAGTGCCTCTTCCAGAAATAGATTTGGATTCACTTCAAGCCTGCAGAAGTGTCTAACATGTAGATAAGAACTTCCCTGATCTTCTGTTCCTGCATGGCTTGTGAAAGGGTCAGAGTCTGTGCAGGATTTGGCTATTATCACATTACAAAGTGAACTCTCTTATATGCGCAGATACACTTCCAACCCTTCAAAACAATTCACAGTTAATTTCAAAATTTCTTTAAAACTAATAGTTTTACATAGGATTTTCATGGATGAAAATAACTATAACAACTACAACAACAACAATAAAAGGAAATTCTTTTACTATGGTCTTTTAAATATAACCTACATCTTGGGAGTCTTGTATTTCATTGTCAGAGATTTCTATTAACATATCTTTTGTCTTAAAGTGAGAAGCAAAAATCATGTGGAAGTTTTAAAAGCTTACATTGAATTACTTGATTTATGTTCTTCCACATATATTAAATTTTAGTACCATGCAAATATTTGTATTGGCACAATATCTGCTCTGGAGAATTTAACTGGATTTACAAATTGTTACAATATCCCTCTGTTAATTTAATTCTTTCACAGTACATATAATAATGTACTACTTTGTAGTTAGAAAAGATAAAGACAAATTTAGACTGGAAATTTGATAAAAGCTCTTTAATCATTACAGAATTTAAATTACAAATAATAATAATAATTTTTTGATATTTTTTAGTCTGATTGTTCATAGTTACTTATATGTTGACATTGGTCACAATGACAGAAGTCTGGACCCAAAGAGATCTTTTCTACATCTGCATTCCAGTAAAAATGCTGTCAATTTAACAATAACAAAAAATATACAGATAATTCTTTTTTCCTTTTTTTTTTTTTCACTGTATGTAAATGTTCCTCCTGACAAATTACTACAGTGAGACAAAACCTGCAGTTTTATGTTTCTTTATGTCAGTTAAAATAAATCTTAAGTATTTTCTGGAAAACAAGCCTTTTTCTCCATGCAATGAATAAACAGAAAGTGCTTGTTAAACCTCGTTATTATATGTAGTGCAAATTTTTGCCCTTGCACTTTGTTTTTGGTTCCTTCTATTGAACTCCAGAATGATCTCAAAGCAGTCAAGCATGTACAAAGGTTAAAAGACCTTTGAAACTGGTCTTTTTAGTTACAAGCACGAAACTATTCTTGCTTGTAATCTCCTCCTACAACTCTCAAGCCCTGATTATTAGGCTCTTTCATATTTCTTTTAGGTATCCTGGATCTCTGTGTATCCCTTTTAAGTGTACAGACAGGAAAATGAAAGTGTCAGAGAGGAATCAGACTAAGGAGAACCCTGCAAACAAACACTTTTTTTTTTTTTTCCCCAAATATTTGTTTTTCTCATCTTGAGGCCTCCAGGTATGTTTGATTTAAGAGACTGAAAGAGCAATCAGTCTAGCTGGTAGAAACTTTTTCACTAAGCAAACAACCACAAGGATTAGAACCCTAAAAGTGTCTACATTGCATCATACTGGTGGCAGCTAAAATCTCCCCACCAACACTAAATGAGTTGCTAAATCGGCTGAGGAATCTTACAGAGATTTTTGTGACACTATACTAACAGCTGTGATTAATTAATTGCTTCATTAGAAAACAAGTGCTGATTTCTAATGGTAACTTCTCTTAATACGAAAGAAGACCTACATTTGCAAATATGATCTATTGACCTATTTTTATGCAAAACCTGATCTGAATACACACACATTATGTGCAAATAAAAGCTATTGAGACAGATATATTCAGATCTTGTTTGCAGAGTTAATCAAGAGTCTTTTTAGAGCATAAACAAACTGCTTTGCATACATTGGGCATGAGAAAACGGGAAAGGTACCTGTTCTGCCAGAGCAGCAAATCCTGAGGGTCTTCATGACATGCTTAACAGCACCATTCCAAGGAGAGGAATCAAAAATAGCCTACAGCCACAGCTCTTTGAAGGATCTATCTGCACAGTTCATGGAGGAAAAAAAAAAAGAATAAAATGAATGGGAAGCATGAGGAAAAATCCCATAGAAGTTTACTGTTAAGTGAATTAAAGTATATTTGTTTCAGGAGAAAAGTCAAAAATTACACTGGTACCCTCCAGTAGGATGGATAATGCTGAAAAGCAATGGTACACAATGTAAAAGAAATATACGTTATTCTATATTTGGTAAAGGAGAGAAAGATGTCAGAGGTTTGATACACCAAAAGCCTACACAGTCACAGGGGCAGCACTCCTTCACTTTACAGTAAGACTAAAAACTAAAAAGATGAGCTTGTTAGAGATCATAATTCCCTAAACTGTTGAATCTTCACCTCTTTGGTTGCTATCCCTATCCCAGAGTCTTCTCCAATTAACTTCAGCCCTTCACTGTTTTCATGTCTACTGCAGGGAAGGTGGAAAATCTCTGTAGAATCAAACACAGTCTACATGGCTCTTTCAAAATTCTCTGCTAAGAGCAGCATTGAGTAAAACCTGCTGTAAAAATGAAAGATTTGAGCACTGATGTGTGTACTTTCCCATCAAAGCAACAATCTGGATAACATTTAGGAAAGACACACTGATTCCTGGAGAACACAGAATGATAAAATCACAGAATCATAGAATGGTTTGGGTTGGAAGGGACCTTAAAAATCATCTAATTCCAATACCCCTGCCATGGGCAGGGACACCTCCCACCAGACCAGGTTGCCCAAAGCTCCTTCCAGCCTGGCCTTGAACACCTCCAGGGATGGGGCATCCGCAGCTTCTCTGGGCAACCTGTGCCAGTCCCTCACTACCCTCAGAGTGTAGACTTTCTTTATAACTAATCTGAACCTACTCTCCTTTAGTTTAAAAAATTGCTCCTTGTCCTGTCATTGAAATCCCTTTGAAAGAGTCCCTGCCCATGTTTTCCTGTAAGAACCTATTTAACCATTTGCCTATCCAGGAGAATTTCAGACTGATTGGGAGCCTGGGAAACTGATAAAAGTGATGTCCTACAGGGATCATTTCGTACTCATTAACCATGCCCCATTTTATGAATGCAGTGAAAACAGAGTGCAGGGCAGCCAAAATTGCTCAGATTCGTGGCCAAAGCTGGAACAATTCTTAGAAGCTAAGAGACTTAGTGACAAAGAGTGCATCAAGCTGCCTTTTATTCTTGTTACCTCTGCCATGTGTGTTTACATGTGTCAAGACCATTACCAACATCTTTATTGTGGACTCATCTGTCATTCCATTGAGGCTCTGGCCACATGATGAATGTTTCACAAAGAACCGTTACTTCTCTACAGTGATACCACATGCTATTTTTCTTGCAATTTCATCATTTTTGGAATTCTAGGATAGCATTATTGAATGATGTTAGGTTATATGATAAAAAGCTCATCTGCACCCTCACAAAGAAGTACAGAGAAACATGGTTACAGGTGCTGGGTGGTGGAGAGGACCTGAGAGCTCAAAAAATACCCAGCCAGGTTTCACTTGGGTACATTGCAGAAGCCATCAGCCCACCATATGCCCTATTAAGAATTCTAGAAGAGCATAGGGGCAGAATGACAGGCTGGGGAGAACCCAATTTAAAGATCTGAAGGAAGGGATACGTTGTCTGACAGAGACAAATCACATAACTGTTCTTGCAATTTTCACATAGCAGAGCATGAATATTAACTTTAAGGATGTTGCCATGTCATGGATATTACTATACCAGGGAAATAATGTTGAATCAGAAAATCACATATGCTCATGATGCCCCCTCAGGCAATATATTTTAGAAATGATGTTGGTCTGGGTGTGACACAAAGACATTTAACTAGATTGCAATGATCAACTTAAAAGAGTGATGCAGGCTTTTACTATCTATCTGCTGTTCAAAAGAGCAGCTGGATTATCTTCAGATCTCTCTCTGAAAGTCATTAGGCATCACTGTGTGTGTAAAGTCTCACAATTTCTTATCTTTTAAAAATAAAGAATAAAATCAAACTCCAAATGAATACAGTAAAACACAATCTCAGATCAATTACTGAGGTTATCTACCTACCTACCAATTATCTACCTACGTAGATAATTGATGGAAACATCTTAGAAATAAAGCAGGGCTGCTGTACAATGTTCCCTTGTGGCCTTCCTAGTTTTAGTTTTAGCTTATTTTCTCTTGGAAAGAATCTAACATTCGTCATTATTTTCCTGTAAATCCCATCTTCTTTGTCTGTTCTCTTCGATTTTAGTTCCTCCATAGAGTGAAAAACAGAAGCTTCATCTTGTCTTTCTGCATATTTTACCATTTCCCCAGCTGAGCATAGCAAAGGTAATTAAACAACATTCTTCTTTCTCAGATATTTTCACACAGAATTTGTGTATCTGTCTCTCACCTACTTCCTTGTGTGCATCTGTTCATTGTAGGAGGGTGGGAATTGCTGTGTAGGACAGTCATTTTTTTTCTTCTTCTGAGAAAAAAAGCTGTGCATAAAATGAAAAGGTGAAGCCTTTTGAAATAGCAATTTACCATAAGAACTTAATGCTTTATGGTTTTTTTGTTTTTTGTTTTGTTTCCCATCAAAGCAAACGAACCACAAAACACACCACCAGCAACAAAAACAAACCCAAAATAAAATCCACTATTGCACTATAAACCAAACTTTTGGGTTTGTATTGATATTCATCAGTGATGTCACATAACATTAGTTTCAGATCATTTGTATACTTGCTGTTTGCTACAGGCCCAGCTCATCAGTCAAAACACCTCTCCTGTTATACAACCCCATAGCTCTGTGCATCTGTAAGGCTATGATGGCTTTTCAGAAGTCTTCTAATTCAGAAGGGTAGCTATTCTGGAAAATAAGAAGGATGGTTTGCTTTTACCCAGGTAATAAAGTGACTCTTATCAATTCAAAAGTGTCTGGACAGTCATATTTCATACTTCCAATATCTTTCCAAGGTATGGAGAAGTAACCTGGGGAAATACTGATGGGTCACTGCTTTTCCAAATGGAAAGTAATACTGACAACAATTTTAAACAGTGCGGTATTTTCTAGGCAGTCTTGCTGTCCCTTCCCCCTTCTTACCCCCCTTCTCTCTTCCCCCCCTCCCCCCCCCCACCATCTGAAAAATTTGGCTATATCATTAATACTCCTAAGAAATTCACTTGAATTCCTCGAAGAATGCCATCTTGTCCTCTTTTCCACACTAAGAAAACAAACCAGAAAGGGTTTGAAATGTTACAAGCTGTAAAAGCAAGTTATGTCTTAAGAGCCAGAAAAGCAGGAAAATATCTGGTCCAGTCCAGCAGCATTGGGTTCCAACAATGGAAAACTTTTGCAGTAAAATTAATGTTTTTTTAAAAATCTTATCCTTCTGTTTAGGACAAGCTGAAATGTTACTTTATCTCAAGCCTTTTTGTTTGTTTGTTTTTTTTTCAAAGTAAATTGAATGAATTTTCACAGAAAGAATGAAAGGGTCACAAGATGTCAAAAAGCAACAAAACATGGTTTCAGTATAGCAAAACTTTCACCAGGGAAACCAGATAGGGTCATACTGAAAATTAAGCAGAGGTTGTTGGGTGATGAACAGCACAGTCTTCTACTTGCTAAATAAGATTCTCAGTCATCTCAGTAAAATCTGACTTTTGAAAAGCTGCAGATTTGGTTACAGCAGATATGCAGCAGAAACAACCTAGTTGGTGGTCCTAGTTTTTACAGACTGTTGCTTTAACGTAGTCAAATAGAACAAATTCTGGTGATTTATTGTTGGACTAGATTTCACTCTCTGGGCAAAATGCCATGAATTTGGGGTCAGGGTTCTATAGGCTGCACTAAACATATCTTTTTCAAACCAACAGGCACATCTGACTCTTAATCTTCATGCACCAGTTATTTGATTCTCACTGACCCTACCCTACCTGTTGTTTATTGCAAGTCTCTGCTTACTAAAAATGTAAAAAAAACAATAATTGTCTATCAAAATGTCACAGAGAGTTAGTTTACCCATGGCACTGAAAATCAAAACCATATGAGCAGGAACATAAAATATGCCATTATTCTCATGGATTTAAAATAATCTGTCTAGTTTTTATTTCACATCACAAACACCAATATTTTAAAATGTTAGGACTTATTCTTGAAGTTGGAATATTCTCCATGCATGAAGGCAAACCTGATAAAATGAAAAAATTGCCACTGGAGCGTTGTGCTGAGCATGCTGCAGCCCTGCCTGCTCTACTGAGGTGAGCAGGTTCCTTTGGGAGAGTAAATGCATCCTGCAGCTTCTCCACAAGGGTCAGAAAGACAGATCAGAGAAAGCTTCCATTAAATATATATATATATATATATATATATATATATATATATATATATATCCATCTGCTCATACTGATTGGCTTTATAAGTATAAGAAAAGAACACTGTATAAAAAAAGAACAGGGAAAAAAAAAATCTCTGCAAGTAAGGAACAAATTAATAGCCTTCAAAGTCACTAGACGAGGTCTCCTGGGATAGCAGATTAACTCAGCATTGCCCTCTGAATAACTTTGTTGCCAAGATTAGATAAAACAGCTATCAGCATAGGAGGCAGCTATGCATAAACTGTCCTTGCTGAGCACATCAGAACTACCTGGACTGCAGTTTTGGCTGGAACTTTCTACTGCTGCAAGTATATTCACTAATTCTTCATATTAATAGTGAGTTTATTATAATAACAGAGAGTGAGATGCTAGCCAGATTTCCAGTTACAATCCTTTTTTTCAGGAAGTCAATGTGATTAGATTCCAATTATTGCAAATCTACACAGAGCACTGGCAGTCGACTCTAAAAAAGAGCTGTAGCACGTGACATGAAAAAAAAAAAAAAAAAAAAAAAGGGTTCAAGCACCACACAGCAACACTTTATTTAAATAGTTATCCAGCTACCCTGCTACAGATATTTAAATCTATTTAGAATCAAGTGGTCTGGCTCTCAAAATAACTAACACCACATCACATCTTTTGA